GTCAGCAAGGAAAAATAATCTGACAAAACTAGAAGTAAACACAGCTGTATGCTTCTTGAATGTGTGGCGTCAGTAGATTTAAAGTATACTAACTATAGAAAAACTTTTAAATATATTGGATAGAGTAAGGCTAGGTTCACATATGTGCAGGTGGTGCGGCTGCGAGACCCACACAAAAACACTTGCAGCTGCACCACCCGCACAGAGCAATGCGGGACCCGTGGGCAGGTGCCATTAATTCTAATGGAACGCCGCCCGCACTGGAAATAGCAACTGTACTGGTTCCCGTGCGGGTTGCAATTTCCAAAGAAGTGCAGGGACTTCTTCCCTGCATATCCCGGGGCACGGGAGTCCTTTTAAATGCATGGGCTCTCGTGTCTGCACAAAACGCGGCTTGCACGGCTGCAGATATGTGAACCAGGGGTAAGGGAGGGTTATAACCCCTGTCAGGTTATCTTTTGCTATCGTTTTCCCATTGGGGAGATTTACCTTAATTTATTGTCCCATAGCCAAAACAGGAAGGGAAAAAAAATCTCTGCAAATTAAGGAAATTCCTTGGGGACTCCCAGGTCACCAGAACTAGTGTCCCCATTGGAAGATTTCCCTTCTATTTTTCTGGTGACAATGCAAACTTTTGGATTTTTCTTTTATTTCAATTTTAATGATAATGGTAAACAGGACAAAGAGAGATGGTGACTCTCCCTAACACGGGGCACAGACAGCAATAAAAACCTAACAGGCGCTCTAATCAATCTCCACTCTATCCAAAAAATACTCTATTTCCACTCTATGTCGCCTTTAGTTATACTTTAACCTACTAGGTCTTTTCTAATGGTAATGCTCTGGAAAAAATGAGGAGAGAGAGGGTGAAGGGCTGAGCCATGCTTTGAGTGTGATTTAGACACCTAGAGCAGCAGCTCAGGAGCGGGCCTACTTAGGTAACCCCCAGGGGCGGACTGACAACTCATGGGGCCCCCAGGAAATAGGGGATCATGGGACCCCTGTGTCCTTGCCCAAACTCAAAAAAGCCTATGAAAAAGGTACCAGGGGCATCTCATGGGGCCCCCTACTGACCCCTGGCCCTCAGGCAGTGCCCGAGTTTCCAAATGGTCAATCCGCCCCTGGTAACCCCAAAGCTGCTTGCTGTGGGGGCACTTGTCTGGAGGGAGGGGCTAGGTGCACCAGTGGGGGTCCCGAGAAGAAGAGGACAGGGCTGCTCAGTGCAAAACCACTGCACAGAGCAGGTAAATATAACATGTTTATTGTTTTGTCTTTAATATCACTTTAAGACCCTCTCATATAACTGAAACATTCATTTGGAAATAAAATACCTATCCCTTCTCCATAAAATAAATACACTGGAGAAAAAATTTGCAGGAGAGAATAACTATGCATTATTCTAATGGAAAATTATGCAAAGTAAAAAAGAATAGAAGAATGGGCAGCACAGGGGCTTAATGGTTAGCACTTCTGCCTGGCAGTACTAGGGTCGCTGCTTTAAATCCCAACCACAGCACCAAATGCCTGGAGTTTGCATGTTCTCCCTGTGCCTGTGTGGGTTTCCTCCCACACTCCAAAGACATGCTGATAGGTTAATTGGCTCCTGTCTAAATTGGTACTAGTATAGATATGTATGAATGTAAGGCTGGCCATACACTATATAATTTCGCTTTAGATTGACTAAAAACCATATAATAGGCGGTCAAAACTAACAACACTTTCAATTGTATCCAAGTAGGCAGGCTTTTGCACTACATAGTTGAAGGTAAATCTAAAGGAAAATTGGGCAGAAATTGGACAGAAAATTGTATAGTGTATGGCCTGCCTAAGCTGGAGACCTTAGATTGTACACCCCTTGAGGGTGAGGGACTGATGTGAATGTACAATATATATGTAAAGTGCGCTGCGTAAAATTTACAGCACTATATAAGTACCTGAAATAAATAAAATAAGAAAGGGCACCAAAAAACACATGTGAATTTTCAAAAAGGACCCATAGGGGTTGATTCACTAAAACTGGAGAGTACAAAATCTGGTGCAGCTGAGCATAGTAGCCAATCAGCTTCTAACTTCAACTTGTTCAATTAAGCTTTGAAAAAAATAACCTGGAAGCCGATTGGTTTCTATGCACAGCTGCACCAGATTTTGCACGTTCCTGTTAGTAAATCAAGCCCTTTAAGTACTGGCATTGATGTTCACACATTAGTATATCTGAAAGTCCAAGATTCCAAAGCTTACCGTATTCTTTCCTGTGAAAGCCATAAAAGGAGCACTGGCTTTTTAAATGATGGATCTCCGAAAGTTCCCAGGTTTCCTGTCTTCTACTCCACCGCTAGAAGATATGAAGACAAAATATCTTTTTGACGTTAAAGTCTAATAAATTACTGTAAGGGATACATTATTTCCATTTTAATAGGCATATAGGTTTCAAAAAATCATTACACAATCATTATTAAATACAAGTATAACTCTAATAAAGCGCAGAAACTGCCAAAGTGATTCTTGAGTAAGGAATACCAGTCTTGACACTTTTTATACAACACTCATTACTCCTGTAGTGCCGTTAATCACTAGTTCATGACTGCTGACTTATTCAGTCAAAACATAGATTCAGTTTGCAACACTTATAGCTATACAACATACTCCATGTGTGCAGAGGTAAACCAGGAACCTTTCCACATATGGTGCTTGTATATACAACAGTTGCCGCAAGATTTCCTAATAATTCTACATGTCTTTGTAGCTGAAAATATTTACAGAAATGTAAAAGATATTTTCAGATTTTTGACTTTTTTCTATTAAACATGTCCAGTAAAAAAATGTAAAAAATCAAATGTCGTCATAAATTTAGGCCAACATGTACTCTGCTACTTGTCTTTGCTGAAAAAAAAAAAATCCCAATACATGTTAATTAGGAAAAGTGAAAGATATTTTCATATGTGTAATCTGTTGCAAGAATGGGAAGCTTCGACCTTGGGGAGTAAAAACACGACCCGTTTGCCCTTACATGGTAGGAACCTGAGAAAAAATATATAAATTACCACTAGCCCTCCAGAGGATTTACCCCCCTTAAATTTTGCGAAAAAAGATGTCCAGTAAAAAAATTAAAAAAATCTAATTTTGTCATAAATGTATCAAAGATCAATAATTTGATCTCCTGTGTGTTTTTTATTTTTTGCGCTATAAAAAAAAAGACCGACAATTTTGAGAAAAAAACAATATTTTTGACTTTTTTCTATTAAACATGTCCAGTAAAAAAAATGTAAAAAATCAAATGTCATCATAAATTTAGGCCAACATGTACTCTGCTACTTGCCTTTGCTAAAAAAAAAATCCCAATACATGTAAATTAGGAAAAGTGAAAGATATTTTCATATGTGTAATCTGTTGCAAGAACGGGAAGATTCGACCTTGGGGAGTAAAAACACGACCCGCTTGCCCTTACATGGTAGGAACTTTTTTTTGTGGGCTGATGCAAAGTGTGGCATGATGAAAGAATGCTGCATACAGTATGTTGTGCTGGTAATATAATGTGACAAACTCAAACCAGAGGAAAAATATATAAAATTTCTTTCAGTGGTATTTGATCTCCTGTGTGTTTTTTATTTTTTGCGCTATAAAATAAAAGACCGACAATTTTAAGAAAAAAAACTATGTTTTTTACTTTTTTCTATTAAACATGTCCAGTAAAAAATGTAAAAAATCAAATTTTGTCATAAATGTAGGCTAAAATGCATTCTGCTACTTGTCTTTGCCAAAAAAAAATCCCAATATGTGTAAATTAGGAAAAGGGAAATATATTTTTATATGTGTAGTCTGTTGCAGGACCGGGAAGCTTCGGTCCTGACCAGGCCATTTTTTGCGCTACGGCTCTAAGTTACTTTAACTGACAATTGCGCGGTCATGCAACGCTGCACCCAAATTAAATTTATGTACTTTTTTCTCAAGAATAGAGCTTTCTTTCAGTGGTATTTGATCTCCTGTGTATTTTTTATTTTTTGCGCTATAAAAAAAAGACCGACAATTTTGAGAAAAAAACTTTGACTTTTTTCTATTAAACATGTCCAGTAAAAAAATCTAAAAAATCAAATGTTGTCATAAATTTAGGCCACGGTGTTTTCTGCTACTTGTCTTTGATAAAAAAAATCCCAATACATGTAAATGAGGAAAAGCGAAAGATATTTTCATATGTGTAGTTTGTTGCAAGACCGGGAAGCTTCGGCCTTGGGGAGTAAAAACACGACCCGCTTGCCCTTTCATGGTAGGAACTTTTTTTTGTGGGCTGATGCAAAGTGTGGCATGATGAAAGAATGCTGCATACAGTATGTTGTGCTTGTAATATAATGTGACAAACTCAAACCTGAGAAAAAATATATAAATTACCACTTGCCCTCCAGAGGATTTACCCCCCTTCCTGACCAGGCCATATTTTAAGATATGTTGTTCAATGTCTAAATGGTGAAGTATATGCACTCAGGGCCACTAGCCCAGCAAACTGCCCACTGCCTCCATCCCAGTCCTTACCTGATACTTCTGAGCTCATCTTCACTTTTGACTATTCATAGGTGTGACCTCAAACTGATTTTGGATTTTGGACACAGTTTGGATTTTGCTGCAGCCTCTACCTTGGTGTGCATGAGAAAAATCATCTCATCTCATTGGCAGCACAGTGAGAAAGTGGTTAGCACTTCCATCTGGCAGTACTAGGGTCATTGGTTAGAATCCCAGCCAAGGCACCACCTGCCTGGAGTTTGCATGTTCTCCCTGTGCCTGCGTGGGTTTCCTCCGGGTACTCCGGTTTCCTCTAACACGCCAAAGACATGCTGGTAGGTTAATTGGCTCCTGTCTAAATTGGCCCTAGTATGTGTATGTATGAATGTGAGTTAGGGACCTTAGATTGTACGCACCTTGAGGGTTAGGGTCTGATGTGAATGTACTATATATATATGTAAAGCGCTGTGTAAATGAAATAAATAAATAAATTAATTTCTGAATTGTCTCCTTCTGACCAGGGGAGGACTGACAACTCATGGGGCCCTCGGACAATAGGGGATCATGGGGCCCCTGTGTCCTTGCCCAAACTCAAAAAAGCCTATGAAAAAGGTATCAGGGGCATCTCATGGGGCCCCCTACTGACCCCGGGCCCTTGGGCAGTGCCCGAGTTTCCAAATGGTCAGTCCGCCCCTGCTTCTGACACAAGGGTGCAAGCAGCAACTGGGTACACTCTATAAGAATTGGGTGAACGATTGTCCAGTTTTCCTCTATGTTTCACAGCAAATCGAATCCAAGGATGGTACTAACTGTGCAAAAAATCTTGAACAACAAAAGTTTTTTTGGGTTTTTTTAACATAGAATCATTGTAGCATCGATTATTTTTGTTTAGTGTGTCTGATCAGGGGCGGACTTGACCATTTGGAAACTCGGGCACTGCCCAAGGGCCCGGGGTCAGTAGGGGGCCCCATGAGATGCCCCTGGTACCTTTTTCATAGGCTTTTTTGAGTTTGGGCAAGGACACAGGGCCCAATGATCCCCTATTGCCCGGGGGCCCCATGAGTTGTCAGTCCGCCCGTGTTTCTGATCATACACAATCTTTCGTATCTTATTTTTCTCGTATCAAAACAATACCCATTAAACAAAAATCATTCATTCTGTTCACGTGCAAGAAACATTTTGGAGTTTGTCCCTTCTGAAATTTTTTTTTTTTTTTTAATGGTTGAATTGGATGGATTTTTGTCTTTTTTTCAGCCAGACTAACTATGTAACTATATCAAACATTGTGTACAAACTAGACCAAAATTGAACGATTGTTCCTCAGACGGAATTTTTCTTCGAATTTTCCCATAGTGTTTATCACAACAGGGAGAGACACTTTCTGGGAGTGAGGTAAGCAAGAGAGGTGAGCAATATTCAGACTCCCTGCCCTCTCCCAATATATGGTCCTCTTTTATTCATTTTTTTTAATCCAGTTTAATTTCCTATAGTCAGCTTAGTATATTTTTAGAGCTATCTTTAGGCAGAATGTGTTGTGAAAACAAGATATCAAAAATACTGTTATGCTAATTTCTTTTGTACCTGTCTAAAATTACCTGACTACAAGTTTTCTAATCACCTTTGGGCATTCAGCATTTTAGAGACAACATGACAGCAACCGACATGATATATGATGTTATATTGCAGAGGAAACATGCTGTTCTTGAATTTGCATAGAAATTTGCTTGTAACAACTGTATGTAATTATTTTTTTTTTAAAGTAAACTCCTCATGGGAGAAATAAGAGGGGTGCCCTAGCTGTCCTCCTTCTGAAAATCTCCCAACACAGGAGCCACCCTGAAAAGTAGCTCTAATGGACAGTCAGGAGAAAGACAATTTCAGATGGAGGTACTAAAGATTCCTGAGGGCCGTGGTCATCCAAATCAGGCAGGGGAGGAAGGGTTAAAGTGATACTAAAGGCAATTTAAAAAAAAAAAAAAAAAAACATGGTGTAATTACCTGCTCTGTGCAGTGGTTTTGCACAGAGCAGCCTCTTCTCTGATCCCCTGCCGGCGTTCCTGGTCTCTCCCTCTTAGCACCTCCACAGCAAACAGCTTGCTATGGGGGCACCTGAGCAGGCTCTTTCTCTCTGTGTCCATTTATACACACAGCCGTGTGGCTCAGCCCCACCCCCTTTATCTCCTAATTGGCTCACTGGCTGTGATTGACAGCGTTGCGAGCCAATGGCTTCTGCTCCTGTCTCAGCTATTGAGGAGGGAGAGTCTTTGGAGAGTCGAAGCTCTTGTGCACATCGCTGGATCACAATGGGGCTCAGGTAAGTATTGGGGAGGATGGGTTGCTGCACTCGGGAGTTTTTTTTTCCTCGAACCTTTACAACCACTTTAATTTAGGACAGGGGGCTGGAAGAAAAAAAAGCACGACAGGACAGTTATCCTTTAAAGTACATGATTTTTCTTACCTGCTCACCTCTGTTATGTTAAATATACAGCACCCTTGACAGACATATGTCATATTGTTTGGGAGTTGAAAAAAACAAAACAAAAACTCGTTATCTGCCGTAATCCAATGTGTCTCAACTTTCTGAAAACTAGCCCCATTCTGTTTGCACCTTGTGGACCTCAGAACACCTTTCCCCTATGTTATAGTGATGGGGAAAGGGGAGGTATTCTGCAGTCTAAGTCATGCGCAAGAGGTCTATGGTGACAATGCTGTTTCTCCATACTGTAGAGAAAGTACAGAGAGTGGGCGTTGTCACCCCAGGACAAAGAAGTGTGTTACGGGTAAGAGCACCAGATGGAAATAAAGGGTGAAAAGTGGAAAAAAATAAAACAAATGCAGCCACCACATCGACTGACTAGTAGTCTGCCGTACATTGCATCGTTCGTAGCATAATATCAAATTTAGGTTGCACAATAAGACTACAGGCAGTCTCGAGTTGTAAATATCTAACTTACATACAACTCGTACTTAAAGTGTTACTAAACCCACAACAGTACAATCAGTCTGTATATGCAGTAAAGCATGCTTGTTATACTCACTGTGGAACCTAAGGAGTTAATCATCCGCATTGTGTAAAAAGGCCATTTGATCCTGTCTTCTCTGCTCCTCCTCTTGTTAAAATGGCCATGTCTTATCTCCCGATAAAACAGACTGAAATTCTGAAAAACTTCTCTAGCAATACACACTAAACTGAGCATGTGCATGTGACCACAAGTTCAGTCTGTATCAGGTGGTCATTTCAACAAGAGGAGGATCAGAGAAGACAGGATCAAACAGCCTTTTTACACAATGCAGAGGATTAACCCCTTAGGTTCCACAGTGAGTATAACAAGCATGCTTTACTGCATATACAGACTGATTTTACTGTTGTGGGTTTAGTAACACTTTAAGTACGAGTCGTATGTAAGTTAAATATTTGCAACTTGGGACTGCCTGTAGTCTTATTGTGCAACCTAAATTTGATGTTATGCTAAGAACGATGCAATGTACTGCAGAGTACCAGTCAGCAGATGTTGTGGCTGCATTAATTTCATATATATATATATATATATATATATATATATATATATACACCGTATGTTTCGCTCCATAAGATGCACCTGACCATAAGACGCACCTAGGTTTTAAACGCAGAAAACAGGAAAAAAAATATTCTGAACCAATGGACTGCAGACACAGTACAGGAGATGACCAGAGACTGCGGACAGTACAGGGATGACCAGAGACTGTGGACAGTACAGGAGATGACTGCTGACCTTTGGGGAGGGGGGGGGGAGCGGGTACCTGAATTTGACAGGTACCCGCTCTTACTTCCGCGGAGTTGTTCTTTGGTTAGTGTCCGCTCTGCAGCGGGACCTTACCTGTTCCTCTATCCAGCCTCGCACTGTCTTCCCGGCTTCTGTAGTATGGGCGCTCGGCAGACAGCCGGGTGCCCAGTGCGCATGAGCGAGAAGCGCTGCGCTTTGTGATTGGTCCGGCGGCTTCTGGCACCTGTCATGTGTTCCAGGTGCCGCCTTACCATTCACAAAGCGCACCGCTTCTTGCGCATGCGCACTTGGCACCCGGCTCTCAAGCCCAGTGTCCACACTACAGAAGCCGGGAAGACAGCGCGCTGCTGGATAGAGGAACAGGTAAGGTCCCGCTGCAGAGCTGAGCGGCCGGCCCGGTATTCTGACACGGCAGTGGTGGAAATACCGGACCGGCCACCGGCCACTCCATATTCGCTCCATAAGACGCACTGACATTTTCCCCCCTTTTTGGGGGGGAAAAAAGTGCGTCTTATGGAGCGAAAAATACGGTATATATATATATATATATATATATATATATATATATATATATATATATATATATATAATATATTCTTCAGATTTTTTTTTTAACATATAAAAAAGTCATTTTAACATATATTTTTACATACAGTATATTTGTAAATGCCAGGGGGCAGACTGACCATTTGGAAACTCGGGCACTGCCCGAGGGCCCAGGGTCAGTAGGGGCCCCATGAGATGCCCCTGGTACCTTTTTCATAGGCTTTTTTGAGTTTGGGCAAGGACACAGGGGCCCCATGATCCCCTATTGCCCGGGGACCCCATGAGTTGTCAGTCCGCCCCTGGTAAATGCATTCCAAAAATGTAGATTTGTATTTTTAAAGACATACAGTATATTTGAAATTTATTTAAAAAATATTTTTCATATATTTTTTAATAAAAACACACACATATATATATATATATATATATATATATATATATATATATATATATATATATATAAATATAATTATATTTTAAAAATATTCCCAAATATATTGACATATATTTGAAATGCTACAATTTTGGCCATATTCAATATATTTTAAATTATATTTGAAATATATTTATTTTCCATATGGGCAGCGCCTCCTGAATTCCTGCCAGCCAATGCTATACCACTCTTTGAAAAGCTTTCCACCGTGGATAGGTTCTCAGAAGGCGGTAAACATTGCTGCCACTGTGAAAGAGCCCTTACCGCCACCTTAAGCCAACTGGAGCTTGGTTGTATAGTGCATTATAGACACAGATGACCATTATTTCTTGAGTGAGCTGTTTTCACTGGGAACAAATGCTCTCCTAAACACACTCTGCAATTATCTCCATGTTTCAACTACAGAAACCTGATACCACCATTAGTGCCCAGACATGTGAAAAGCAACTGCTACTTCTTTAAATGGGATTGTAACACTCAACAAAAGGACATGCCGGGGAAATAACACTTCATCCTTTTTCTCTATGTATTATTCATTAAAACTCAAGGGCAGAAAGCAAACAGAATGATTTTGTGCACAAGAAAAACACATGCTATGATTTCCTCTGCTGGAACATTTTTATTAACACCTCTCTCTGAATTATTTACTGTTGGAGAGATGGGAAAGACCAATGTGCATCCGCGAGGGGAAATAAATCATGTTTTTTCCTTTGATAATATGCAGTGTAATTTGTATATTAAGGATTAGTTTACTCTCGCCCTCTTGGCTCTTCAAAATTAATCATGTAGCAAACTGACATTCCCAATATTTGTCTTATACAAAACTGAAGATGAACAATTAGAAGAGACTGTATAATAAGCACCTGAAAATGTTCAATATTAATAATGCATAGGACTTTCATTGTTGTTAACCACTTGCCCTCCAGAGGATTTACCCCCCTTCCTGACCAGGCCATTTTTTGTGATAAGGCGATGCGTTACTTTAACTGACAATTGCGCAGTCATGCAACACTGTACATAAATGAAATTTACGTTCTTTTTTTCCCCACGAATAGAACTTTCTTTCGGTGGCATTTGATCACCTCTGCAATAAAGAGGGATATTTGTTTCACACATATTGCAATACATGTTTAAGCTGGCCAACTGCGTCAAAGTAATCCCTCTCTGGCCAGTCCTACTATGCTCTGCCTACGCAATCCTTTGATAATATGCAGTGTAATTTGTATATTAAGATTTGTTTCCTCTCGCCCTCTTGGTTCTTCAAAATTAATCATGTAGCAAACCAACATTCCCAATATTTGTCTCATAGAAAACTGAAGATGAACAATTAGAAGAGACTGTATAATAAGCACCTGAGTGAAAATGTTCAATATTATTAATGCATAGGACTTTCATTGTTGTTAACCACTTGCCCTCCACAGGAATTACCCCCCTTCCTGACCAGGCCATTTTTTGTGATACGGCGATGCCTTACTTTAACTGACAATTGCGCGGTCATGCAATGCTGTACATAAATTAAATTTACATCCTTTTTTTCCAATGAATAGAGCTTTCTTTTGGTGGTATTTCATAACCACTGCAATAAAGAGGGATATTTGGTTCACACATATTGCAATACATGTTTAAGCTGGCCAACTGCGTCAAAGTAATCCCTCTCTGGCCAGTCCTACTCTGCTCTGCCTACGCAATCCTTTGATAATATGCAGTGTAATTTGTATATTAACCCCTTGGCGCCAGCGCCTCCCGGCCCTTTAAGGGTTTCAGAAGCTGGAAGCAGGACTGGGTTTTAGGGTCATGTGACCGCCCATTCTCCGTCACGGCTGTCACATGATCAGGAAAGGTCCCGATCGAAAGAGGATATCTGGACCTTTCCGTGAGTACCAGACATGTGTGCTGGGAGCGTGCAGGGCGCGCGTTTTCAGCACATATGTTTTTCTTAATTGCACACATATGTGCATCCGCTCGACGTCTAGGCCGAGACGCTTGGAGGTCGCACATTTGTGTGCAGCCGGCGTGAACAGGCTAAGATTTGTTTACTCTCGCCCTCTTGGCTCGTCAAAATTAATCATGTAGCAAACTGACATTCCCAATATTTGTCTCATAGAAAACTGAAGATGAACAATTAGAAGAGACTGTATAATAAGCACCTGAGTGAAAATGTTCAATATTATTAATGCATAGGACTTTCACTGTTGTTAACCACTTGCCCTACAGAGGAAATACCCCCCTTCCTGACCAGGCCATTTTTTGCAATACGACACTGCATTACTTTAACTGACAATTGCGCGGTCATGCAACACTGCACCCAAATGAGATTTACATTATTTTTTCCCACGACAAGAGCTTTCTGTGGTATTTGATCGATTCTGCGTTTTTTAATTTTTTGCGTTATAGACAAAAAAAGGTCTATATTGGCACTTTGATAGACAACTTATTTTAAAAAATGCTGCCACAAAAATTGAGATTTATTAGTAATCTAGATACATGATTTTGCCACTTTCTGGCAGCTAAGTGCACTTTTTATAGTGTAAGGGAACCTTAGACTAGTGAGTTAAAGCAGAACTACACAGCATCTGAGTACCACAACCAAAAACGTTATTTAACCACTTGCCCTCCAGAGCAATTACCCCCCTTCCTGACCAGGCCATTTTTTGTGATATAGCGCTGCGTTATATTTTAACTGACAATTGCGCAGTCATGCAACACTGCACACAAATGAAATTTATGTCCTTCCCCCCCCCACAAATAGAGCTTTCTTTCGATGGTATTTTATCACCTGTGCATTTTGGGGTTTTTTTTTGCGCTATAAAACAAAAAAAGATCTAAGGTCTATATTGGCACTTTGATAGACAACTTATTTTATGCTGCCACAAAAATTTAGATTTATTAGTAATCTAGAAATTCTGAAGGGCCCTCTGCACACTGGTATATACCCTCTCAAGCAGATGCAGCAATAAATAGGGATATTTGGTTCACACATATTGCAATACATGTTTACACTGGCCAACTGCGGCAAAGTAATCCCTCTCTGGCCAGTCCTACTCTGCTCTACCTACGCAAATGCTACTGTGGACACAATGCCAATATAGGGGAAAATACAAAGTGGGGGAGAGCTACCAGGTTTAGGTCTGGTTACTGACCCAACAATACAACAGTAGCTGTCAGGAATGGACTGGCCAGCAATGGTGGGACTCACCTGCCTTTTGATCTGCAGTACCAGGGCTGGCCAGCGGATGCTCCCAGCAATCAGAGACTCAACTTTGCAGCCAGCTAACACCTGGAACTGATTATGCTGGGGTATTTAAGGGATGGCCAGACCCACAGACTCTGCCTTGGTGTTGTGTTTGTCCTGGGCCCTGTATCCTGTTTCTGTCCTGCATCCTGTTTCTGTTCCTTTGCTGACCCTGCCTGATCTGAACCGCTGCTGACTTCTCCTGCTCTGATCCCGGCTCGCTCCTGACCATCCCTCTGCCTGACCCTCTGTACCACGCTGCTTGCTACCTGTTCTGATCCCTGGCTTGTGACCCTGACCATCCCTCTGCCTGACCCTCTGTACTACGCTGCTTGCTACCTGCTGAACCTGGCCTGTGACCCCGACCAATCTCCGCTTGCTCCCCCTGTACCTACCTGCCCTATTGATATTGACCCGGCCTGCCTGACGATGCTTGCTTGTATGTACTGTTATCTGTGGGTGGTTGGTTTGGTTTGTTTGCACTGTATTATGTTTTAGTATTGCACTGCGTTTATGTTTGTATGGTTAGTGTTAATAAATTATATTGTTTATAACATATCTGAGGTCTGCGTTTCCCTGCGTCAGCCACACACCTCTGGTCACACCTGGGAGCCCTGACAGTAGCATTTGCGTAGACAGAGCAGAGTAGTACTGGCCATAGAGGGATTACTTTGGCGCAGTTGTCAAGCTTAAACATGTATTGCAATATGTGTGAACTAATTATCCCTATTTAGTGCAGAGAATCAGACACAATCCATTTACATCCATCGCTCCATAGGGGAGAATGGAGTGTTTGATCGGCCACGGGTGCATCTGAAAAATGGACAGGCAGACCCAGTCGGACTGCTTGTGTGAAAGGGGCCGTACCGCTAACATCAAAAACTTCTTTCAACTAATAATATACCTACTGCAGCAAATATCCAGAGGACACTGTGCAGGGTCACTGGAAATGTACTTACTGAAGCCTGTGCAGTCCAAATTCTTTTCTGATTCTCATATAACTAATCATATTCACATTTTCAAGATATGTTTGAATATGATCATGGTTGTTAGAAACTGTTTCGTGCTGGAATGTGAATGAAAACATTATTGCTAGTTACTATAATAGTCGTTAGCAATAATCGCATGTAAAATACAACAGGCTGGTTGTACCCAAGTTGATTGGTTGATCAACGTGGGTACATTTAGGCTGCCCATACATGGTTTCCCGCTGAATTGGCTGAGATTCGAACCATCTATCACTGGCTTAGGCTATATGTACACTGCTGCTCCTAAACATGAGTTTAGGAGCTTTTGGTGTTTTTTTTTTTGCCAAATCCCCTGAACACAACTCAATAAAAGCCTATGTGTCCATGTACACATAAGCTTTTATCAGAGTCTAGAAGCAGCAGAGTTTAGAGACAGGTAAATGTTCCTCTTCTGAATGCAAAATTATCGTAGTCAGGAGAGGAACGTTGTGGCCAAAAAAGCTAAACGCGGCAAAAACATGTGTAAGCGTGTGTAAACGTGACTAAATGCTCGCCGCATTTAGTGCTTGGGTGTTTATCTGTGTCAATGGAAAATACTTTGGCCAGGAAAATGAATAAATGTCCAAATGCTAAACGTGGGTAAATGTGGCTAAATGCGGTACTGCGTTTACATGCGTTTTTGCCGCGTTTAGCGTTTTCTGCTGCCAAGAGAGTTTACAGGGGTGGACTGACAACTCATGGGGCCCTCAGGCAATAGGGGATCATGGGGCCCCTGTGTTCTTTTCCAATCTCAAAAAAGCCTATAAAAAAGGTACCAGGGGCATCTCATGGGGCTCCCTACTGACCCCGGGCCCTTGTGCAGTGCCTGAGTTTCCAAATGGTCAGTCCACCCCTGAGAGTTTAACAACTAGGTGGGTTCATGTGTACATGAGGCCTCAAAATTCCCTTGCTGACCAGACCATTATATCATTGCAGAAGATATATCTCCAAGGATTGTCCACTTCCCGCACTGATGTGATGTCTATGCAGGGGACTTCTGTGCATTCTCCACACGGATGACTAGTGACATAAGGACTGCCAGTGCTGTAGGATAGAACTTTATAAGATGAACATAGTTTATTCCTGTGATTCTTGCAAAAACTCTCTCATAACTGATTGTCTTGAAAGTGTTTGTGACCAGGGGCAAACTGGCAACTCATGGGGCCCCGGGCAATAGGGGATCATGGGGCCCCTGTGTCCTTGCCCAAACTCAAAAAAGCCTATGAAAAAGGTACCAGGGGCATCTCATGGGGCCCCCTACTGACCCCGGGCCCTCGGGCAGTGCCCGAGTTTCCAAATGGTCAGTCCGCCCCTGTTTGTGACCCATCAGTTTTATTGCAATAATCTAAACACTTTAAATATGAACCTGAAAAAAATCTGGCAAGAGGCATACCCAAATCTTACTTCATGATTTTTTTATACAGCAATTTATTTATTGAAAGCAAAGTTCCAGCCATTTTTGTGTTTATTAAAAGTCAGCAGCTACAGAAACTGTAGCTGCTGACTTTTAGTAACCACACACTTACCTGTCCCAGGGTTCAGCGATGTTCGCACCCGCGCTGGCTCTTCTCTCCTCCACGGCGCCAGCATCCCATCTGTGGGCACCGCGCTGTGACAGCTTGCTGCTTCACAGCTGGGTGCCTCCTGCACATGCGCGAGTTGCGCTGCACCTTCTGATTGGTCCGGCAGTCTTCTGGGACCTGTGAATGTTCCCAGAAGACTGCAGGAGGAAGAAGGGGGCCGAATGTCCGGCTCATTTCACTGCGGAGAACTGAGCCAGAAGTGGGAGCGGGTACATGACCAGTTACCCGCTCCCCCCCAAAAGGTGCCAAATATAGCAGTGGAGGAGAAGGCAAACAAGCATAGCTTCCAATTTTGGGTGGAGCTCTGCTTTAATTTACAGTTGTGGCCCCTAAGCAACTGTTTTCTGTTCATTGCCTAGGGTTTTAATGTTGCAGAATAAATATGTTTTTTCTAAAATGCAAGAACTTTGCATAACAGAAGGTTTTTTGTAACTTGCAAGTAATTTGGAAGTTTTGTAAGTGGCCCACGGATCCTTATGAGAGAGAATATCGGCCATGTATCGATTTACGTTCCAGCCTGCCCTAGCACTTATTTAATCACTTAATCTAGACACTTTTTTCTAGTCTATAAATTAATTAGAGCTTACTGAGCAAATTATTGTGTTGTTTCTTCACAGACACATTCCTTTTTTTCAACTAAACTAACTATAGAACTTGTCAATGATGGCACATAACAACTAAAGTTCAAGTTTTTTTTTTTTCTGTAGTTGACATTTAAATAAATATTTGCAATCCAAGGAGCAAAATGAAACACTGAGGGGTTGGTTTAGAAGCCAATCATCTTCTAACTTCAGCTTGTTCAATTAAGCTTTGACAGTAAAACCTGGAAGCTGATTGGTTTCTATGAAGAGCTGCACCAGATTGTGCACTCTCCAGTTTTAGTAAATCAACCCCTGAGGGGCCTGAAGGGTAAAGTGAACAGAATTCTGAATGATGGAGGTAAGGGAGGGAGTGAAGGATAGAAAGGATAAAAGGAGTGCATAAGAAAGCGGGACCCAGAGAAGAGGTCATGTGGGAGTGATTCCACAATAGCATCAGTCATAATTTATAGAACAATAAACTGTAGAGCAGCAGTTCTCAACCTGTGGGTCGCGACCCCTTTGGGGGTCGAACAACCCTTTCACAAGGGTCTCCTAAGACCATCGGAAAACACATATTTCCGATGGTCTTAGGAACCGAGACACCGCTCCTCTATCAGTCTTCAGGCGGGTCCACCCACATGCAGATACGTCCACATTTCCCTGGACCGCGATGTGTGCGCGGGATGACATGCCACCCCTGTCATCTGGCCACATCCTCGGGATCACTCAACAACTCTGCCTCCTCTCCAGTGATTGGCCGCCGGAATTGTAGCTCAGGAGAGGCACACAGGCGGCCAATCACCGGCGAGGAGGTGGAGCTTGGAGAGGAGGAGCCGAGCAGCAGCACGAAGATCAAAGAAGATCGAACGAGGGAGTGGCCGGAGAAGGAAGACAGCTGACTGGTAAGTGTCTGTAGCGTGCAGATGGTGCTGCTGCAGCCAGGTATGCTGGCTGTAGATGGGAGAGGGAGGGAGCGAGCCCAGGCTGGAGCAGGAGTCAGCAAGGTAAGTGTCATTGGTGTCAGTGGGAAGAATAGTGCCCCGTCATTGGTGTCACTAATACCAATGATGGGGCACTATTCCTCCCACTGACACCAATGATGGGGCACTATTTCCCCCCCCACTGACACCAACGATGGGGAACTATTCCTCCCTCCCGCTGACACCAATGATGGGGAACTATTCCTCCCCCCACTGACACCAACGATGGGGCACTATTCCTCCCCCCACTGACACCAATGATGGGGCACTATCCCCCCCCACTGACACCAATGGTGGGGCACAATTCCCCCCCACACTAGTATCAATGATGGGGCACTACCCCCCCACTGACACCAATGATGGGGCACTATTCCTCCACACTGACACCAATGATGGGGCACTATTCCTCCTACTGACACCAACAATGTGGCACTACTCCTCCCACTGATACCAATGATGGGACACTATTCCTCCCACTGACACCAACAATGTGGCACTACTCCTCCCACTGATACCAATGATGGGACACTATTCCTCCCACTGACATCAACGATGGGGCACTATTCCTCCCACTGACATCAGTGATGTGGCACTACTCCTCTCACTGACACCAATGATGTGGCACTACTCCTCCCACTGCATAATTACAATTATGAAGTAGCAATGAAAATAATTTTATGGTTGGGGGTCACCACAACATGAGGAACTGTATTAAAGGGTCGCGGCATTAGGAAGGTTGAGAACCACTGCTGTAGAGAGTATTAAAACAACTATCATTCCTATAGTCTGTTGATAGAGCAATTACGACCATGTCCAGTAATATACAGCTAATTTCAAAGTCTGTTTACTAATTAAAAACTAGGATGACTGATGGGTATTGGGGGTCTGGAGCAGGGGCTGACTGACAACTCATGGGGCCCCCGGACAATAGGAGATCATGGGGCCCCTGTGTCCTCACTCACACTCAAACCACTCCCAAAAAAAGCCTATGAAAGGTACCAGGGGCGTCTCATGGGGCCCCCTACTGACCCCGAGCCCTTGGGCAGTGCCTGAGTGTCCAAATGGTCAGTCCGCCCCTGGTCTGGAAAAACTACAGGCTAACTTAGATTATGGAGATGAAAATGAGATGATTAGGTGAATGGGGACAATAGTATAGGGTGAAGAATGAGACAATCAGTCCTGTAGCAAGCAGAAGTGAAGATTTATGAAAAAAAGCCAGAAGGAAGGTAGAGAAGAATTAAGCTGGTTGTACACTAATAGACTTTTAAATGAACATTGTACGAACATTTGTATGAATATTATATTGATTATTTGACAATGTTAATTGAATATTCTTTGCTTTTAACATTTAATTTTGGAATAAATGTAATTTCCTGCTCCTTCATTATTTTTTTTTTACTGTGGTTGAAAACAAACATTGATTTTACGTTAATAATGATTAGAAAATCTAATGCCGGCCATACATGGGTCAAAATTCGACCGATCTTTTGTCCGAAAATCAGACTTAAGAATAATTGGCTGATTTTCGCACTGTTAGTGGGTCAATGGCACCGGACGATTTTCATGGTACTCCCCTTTTCGGTGATCGGGCATGTTGGAAAATTTGTGAAAAATTACTGATTTTTGACTCAATGATGGTCAAATAGTACGAATGTTTTTCCGAAAAGAATATGAGCATGAGCCGTGACCTGGAAGGAAAAGAAGTTTCGCCTGTCATATGGGGTGAACTTTATGACTTGGTTTTCGAAATCATTGATGGCACCATCGGATTACCGAGCAAACAACTTTTTCAATTTTCGGGACGAAAAATCTTTCGGGATTCGACCCATGTATGGCCTGCATTAGGCAGCCCATAGATGATTTGAATTTATTTCCTTCCACAAAGAGTGGAAAGAAAGAAAATCACTAGATCCCCACATTAACACAGTCAGGGATGATGGGGAATGTCTCCGGCAGCGCTATTGTGTTCTGCTGGTGGGGGAGACGCAAGGAGCCTTCCTGGCCAGCAGAGCATAATGATTTCTGCTAGTGGCTATAGCCGCCAGCAGTAATCATATGTAAAAAAAAATCCAAAGGGCTGGTTGTATCCAAGGTATGTGCATAGGAAAAAGCATTCCCCAAAGATAGTCTCCTTTGGGACCACATGAAACTATCTTTGTTTAGGGAACGCTTTTCCCTATGCACATATGTATCGAGTATGAGTTTTGGAGACCACACCCATTAACTTTTATTTATGTTTTTCATAGGTGAGTCAGCGATCATATGGTAGCCAATATTAATGCTGGGTGATTTTGAATTTAATCCCTTCTATATCGCCTGTTCAGGCCCTTGGTTAACCTTTTTTAGTCCTTGTATTTGTTGGACCATGGGAGGGCCGGAGCCGAAAGGACTGATCTTGTGCGGGGAGGATCAGCAGGTCAGGTGAGCCTATCTTTGGTGTCCTCTCCCCTAGAACAAAAAGATCATTTAACCCGTGCAGTGCCAGCACAGCTCCACTGCCCATTGCGGGGCAAAAAAAAAATTTCCCGGACTTCTTTAAGCTTAACATAGAGCTGGCATCTATAAAAATGTGTTAGAAAATCTGCAGAATTTTACAAATGGTGGCTGAGTATACATATATATTTATGATGTCTTTTGGATTGAACAAACTATTTGTAGTATTATATCACAGTAATTACACTCTCTCCAAAACCGAGTTTCTTGTCTTTCCCCCAGCCCCCATTGACTTCTCCATCACATCCAACAACGCCACCATCAAACCCGCCCCGCAGGCCAGAGTACTTGGTGTCATTCTGGACTCCAACCTATCCTTCCAGCCCCAAGTCCAATCTTTAACAAGCTCGTGC